TAGTCAGCAGAACTCTCAAGTTTTCATACATTCCCTCACTCTCACCTCTATAGAGAATGAACTCAAATGCCAGGGAGTCTCAACATCTCTGCTGCCTTTTCTTCAGCAGCATCAAGGGAAGGAATGCCTGTGAATGTATGGCCAGTTGTAGCCTGGCAAAAGAGCCCAGACAGAGCTGTAACTAGGATAGAGTGGTGGGGGTTTTTGTCTAGGGAATGGACTTCTAGAGGCATGATTAGTCTCTGTGGCAGTCCTCCGGCTTGGCCCCCCCCTCCCTCATATAGATCCAGGCTTTCATGAATGCCCCCAAGAGTCCCACTGTTCTAGGACCCTTCTCCCTGGGCTATGTTTCTCGGATACTCCTATCTATAAGCTATCCCCTCCCCCACCCCATTGCCACATCCTCCTAGGAATTGGTGGTCTGGCTAACATCATCTATTCTTTCAGAGCATGGGGCATAACTGCATCTGGGATAGATTATCTTTTAATCTCAATTCCCTCCACCCCCAACTGAATTTGCATCCAGATTAAGATTCCTACTTTTGATTTAGATCCTGTCACAGCTTCTGAGGCATAGTGATTTTGTCTTTCAACTAGGCAGTTCCCAGATTCTATCACACACATTCAAAAGGACTCAAAATGGCACTCAAGTATCTTTGCCAAGAGAACCTCAAATGGGGTCATGAAGAGTCAGACATGACTACTGAACAACAACCACCACCACCATTCTAGCAGGCTTACTCGCCTTTAGACTTTACCTAACATATTGGCTGTACCTTTCTAATCTCCTTAACATCATATTGTTTTTATGGTTATCTGGATTGGTGTCTTATCTCTGTATGAGATCCTAAGCTCCCCCAGGTATGTACTGTATCTCCCTCAAGCCTAGCAAAATGCTTTGAACACAGTAGGTACTTACTATGTTTGCTGAATTGAATTGACTGCATAGGGGTTCCACTTGAACCCTCATGTCTCTATCCCACAATGCCTTGTTTTCCCTACTACATTTCTTGGTCTGACAATCAGGGCCCTCTACCCTCAGGTTTCAACTTGTCATCTCCAGTCTCATTTTCCACTTCTATACCCCAGACACAACAGGCTTCTTGGGATCTCTCTTGAGGTACAAACTGGAGAAGATAGGGATAAGACTGAAGAGGAGAGAATTGCAAACCAGCCCCTGAGAGCCAATAGGAATCATAATAGTAATAAAATAATAATAATAGCCTTTATATAGCAATCCAAAATTTACAAAGTCACCTCATTTGATCTTCATGACATCCTGGTATTATTATTCCATTGTATAGATGGGGATATTGATGCAGGTTAAATGGCTTGCCTTGCATCACACAGGTAGTAAGTATCTGAGTATGGATTTGAACTCAGGGTTTCCTTACTCCAGACCTGGTGCTCTATTCACTGTCTCACTTTCTCTTTCTCCCTCCAAGTCATTTAGAAACAACCATTTATTTATAACCAGTTGATCTGTTCATTAAATTAAATTTGCTAATTTATGAAAGCAAGTACCTTTAGGAACTCAAGTAAGGATTACTTTTCTACCTCTTGAAATTATTAAACTTTTTTAAAATAAATTTTTTAAAAAGTATTTATTTATAGCATTCTTTTTTTTAAAAATATGAGCTCTGAATTCTCTCCCTCATTCAAGCTCCTTACCCACCCATTGAGAGGCAAGCCATATGATATCAATTATACATGTGACATGAGGCAAAACATATTTCCATTTCAGTCATGTCACAAAAAAGCAAGAAAAATAAAGGAAAAAAATTATACTTCAATTTGCACTCATTAGTTCATTAGTTCTCTTTCTGAAGGTGGATGGCATTTTTTAAAATCACGAGTCCTTGAGAATTGTCTTGGATCGTTGTATTAATCAGAGTAGCTAAGTCTTTCACAGTGGATTATCATTGCCATATTACTGTTACTGTGTATAATGATGTTCTGCTCACTTCACTCTTCATCAGTTCATATAAGTCTTCTCAGGTTTTTATGAAACCATCCCCCTCCTCATTTCTTACAGCATAATAGAACTCCATCACAGTCATACACCGCAACTTGTTCAGTCATTCCCAATTAATGGACATCCCCTCAATTTCCAATTCTCTGCCACCACTAAAAGAGCTGCTCTAAATATTTTTGTACATAATAGGTGCTTTCCCTTTTTCTTTATTCTCTTTGGAATGCAGACATAGTACTAGTATTGCTGAGTCAAAGGGTATGCATAGAGTGGTTTCCCTTTGAGCATAGTTCCAAATTGTTCTCCAGAATGGTTGGACCAATTCACAAGTCCACCAACGGTGCATTAGTGTCCCTATTTTCTGCATTATTTCCAACATTTGTCTTTTTCCTTTTCTGTCATATTCTTTAATCTGACAGCTGTGAGGTGGTATCTCAGAGTTGTTTTAATTTGTCTTTCTTGCAAAGTGAAATGAACAGAACCAGGAAAACATGGTAGACAGTACCGGCAACATTGTGTGAGGATTAATTATGAATGACTTACCTCTTCTTAGTGATACAGTGATCTAAGACAACTAGAAAGGATTCAGGATGGAAAATGCTATTCACATCCAAAAGAATTGATGGACTCTGAATGCAGATCAAAGCATACTTTTTCACTTACCTTATTTTTTTCCCTTTTGATGTGTTTCTTCCTTCGCAACTGTGACCAACATGGAAGTACGTTCTACATAAGTGTACAGATATAACCTATACCAAATTGCCTAGCACTTTAGGAAGAGGGGAGGAGAGGGAAGAAGAATTTAGATCTCAAAATCTTGTAAAAATGAATGCTAAAAATTATCTCGACATATAATTGGGGAAAAAAGCAAAATAGTATTAAAATTTGCCTTTCTCTAATCAATAGGGATTTAGAGTATTTCTTTATCTGACAATTGATAGCTTTGATTTCTTCTTTTGCAAACTGCCTATTCATATCTTTTGTCAGCTTCTAAACTAGGTATTGGTCCTTGTTTCAATAAGTTGACTCAGTTCCCTATATATTTGAGAAATGAAGCCTTTATCAGAGAAGTCTGTAAAATTTTTTGATATTACTTCATTGTCTATGGTATCTTTTAGCAAGATGTGGTTTCTCTGATTGTCTT